GCGAGCCTACTTTTCGACCCTCCGGAGCCCCAAATCATTTGAAAAACACAGTGTTTCGCGACTTTCCTACCTTTTCGCGCATCTCCATCTTCTTTCTTCTTACTCTTTCTCTTCTACTCTTCTTTCTTCTAATCTTTCTCTTCTCTCTGCCCCTTCCCTGCTCTGCTTTTCATCTGTCCATATTGTCGGAAGTTTGACTTCTAAACTTCCTTCGACCATTGACATTCCATTAGCCCTGAGTATACCATTAATATTCTACTAACCATTGGTATACCACTAATACTCCAGTGGTCCTTTGGTTTGGTCCTCCAGGACCTGCTAGATTTGGGCAAGTTGTCCTTCAATGAGCAGTTCGTGGTGCTGCAAACCCCAGGCTCGGGCCCGGCGCGGAAGGGGATTGCCATCAGCGTCATTGAAAATGGATACCCCAAAAATTGTTATAGTGCAGGGGATTTCAATGATAAACAATGGATTAGTTTTTTTTATTGCAAGATGTTCCAGATTTAGCCCATGCGACAACTTCTGTTAATAATTTGTAGGTTCCCACCATTGATTTGTACTTACCATAAGTTCAAGAAACGACTTGGTGCCAAGAAAAGCTTGGAACATTTGGATGTTGATACTTCTAGCATGTCTTGCCTGCATCCCTCTCTGGTTGGTGGTTTCCTGCCTATTTGTTGTTGTTTCCGCCCTATTGAGATGATGCTCCACAATGGGACTCAAGACTCACTGCCAGCTATTGAGAATGGATTCAACCCCCCTATTCTTGTGGCTTGCATCCCCATGTTTGTCATGCAAATCTCAATGTCCACTCATGAAAATCAATTTGGGTGTGTCGAATAACTTGGGTATACCCCAAATCGAATCTATGATGTTTACCATTGTTTTCCGCGTTCAAGTCGCCGATTTTAAGGCAAACCCAAACAATATATCCCATCCGATGATATCCCACTAGATCCCACTACATCTCCTCACATCCCATGGCACCCCATTACATCACCATGGTGTCCCGCATCGGCTGCACCCGCGAAGGCCCTAAAGAGGAGGAACAGCAGGAGCTTTTCGGAGACGCTGGGCGCGATGGATATCTGCAACAGCGAATCCATAGGCGACGTGGTCTGGCAGATCTGGGCTTGAAAAAAAAGGGGGCGGGGGAAAAAAACATCAAACCCCCTGGTTCAGAAAATGTCAAAATATCATTGTCCCTGGTAAAATCACAGTTTTGGGGTCCTCCACTTTCAGACAGGAAATTAGGGGGATTGCGGGATTTGAAATGGTGAGTAAAGCCATGATGGTAGCTGGAAGAAGTGTCAAAATTTATGAGGAAATATGAAATTGCACTAGGGTTGGGATAGGAGACGTCTAGCAGGGATCCGACTTCTGATCCCGGCCAGGAATCTAAAAAGGTCCAGGCCCCTTTACTTAGTTTCCAAAGGTCACCCTCTGGTAAACTAACATAGCTATTGAAAATTGCCATTTATAGTTGATTTACCCATCAAAAATGGTGATTTTCCATAGTTATGTTAGTTTACCAGAGGGTAGTCATGATGTTCCCAAAAAGAGGTTTTGACAATTGACTTTCCCAGGTTTTGTGACCAATGTTATTTTTCTCTGCGACATAAAAAGCATGCGGGACATTCAGCATCCAATGGACCCATTCTATGGAAGATGGATCCCACATTTCCGACATGTAGGTAGGTATATCCCATATCTACCTGGTTTGTATATCCACAACCATCCCCAATCACCATGTAGCCACTTTGAAACCAAATAATGATCCCATATCATACCCCTTTTAGCATCCACTTGAGTGTGATTTTCCATTAAAACCACGGTAACGACATTTAAATATGCGCAGGGCGTGCCAGACCGCAAGGCCCAGGAGGTCGTGTAAAATACCAGTTCGCAAATTTAAATGTAGTTACCGCATATTAAAATCATCCAACGAGGTACATGGAAATCTCCATCAGTCCATATCCCGCCCCAGCCTCAATGGAGCTACACCATATTTCAGGCCATATTTTCTGATCCTCAAAAATCGGCCTGAAATTTTCTTGGCCTTAAAAATATCTGGTAGCGACCTCGAAAATCGCTTCCGCTGAGTCCCATCTGGAGTCACCCCATCCGGAGGATGCTCCACAACCAAGTCGCCAACATGTCGGACCGCGATCTCTTCCACCTGGGTGAGCTGAGTTTCAACGAGCAATTCACGGCCATGGGACGTCCAGGGCCACAACAGATGGACGCCATGAAGAGCAGGCAAAAAATCTGGGGAAACTGGGGATCGTTGATGTGGGGAAAATGTGGATTTAGCCTCTGGTAAACTAATTAACTAAGGGAAATCACCATTTTTTAGAGGTAAATCAACTATAAATGGCCATTTTCAATAGCACACGGTTTGTTTACCAGAGGGTAACATGATTCAACATGATTTAAGGATATAGAAAACCTGGAAAATGTTGGATGTGGCAAAAGTGGTTGGGTGCAAGAACTTCGAAAATCTTGGATGTTGATCTACTTTATGTAGAACCTGCAAACATCTGAAAAAGTCAGAAGTCTAAGTCCGAAATTGGTGGTGTAACCAGCAGAACATAGGTGTCTTTAAGTTACAAAATGATGAGATTTAACCATCAAAAACTGGAAGTTGATGTAGAAAAGCATTAATTTTGACTAAAACTACAGAAATTTGCAATCAGCCGGCAAATAAGTGTGATTTCACATAATTTATCCAGCACGAAGACGGATTCAGCCAGAAAAAAGTGACGGGATGTGCAACTGAAGGCATTGTACATGTCTCATGTAGGTAAACCATGGTAAACCATGTTTAATTTTACCATGTGATGGGGATGACTCTTGCCCTTAAAGAAACAGCTAATTTGGATCCCATGGGCTGAAAAACTGCCAGCTCGATCCTGAAGGGATGGTCCAATTGGGGCGATGCTCACATGAAATTGCGGTGCTGAGATAGTCCATTTTGCCCTTAAAAAATGATACCCTCTGGTTATGACCAACATAGCCATGGGAAATGGCCCAGAGAAAGTTCGATGGTTTACCGTTCTTAATAGCATGGTGTTGATTTTCCAGTTCGCGAACTGTAAACGTCATAACCAGATGGTATCCATTTTTATGAATCCCATAGAAGTTGATCACAGCAATGGTGTGAAAATTGCTGATGGTGGTGTTTTTTGGGGCCTTGGTGCCACTGGATAGTGATTGATGATCCCAAGGGCAGCTGAAATCCATCGAGAACCTATCCATCACAGATTCAGATGAAACAGATACCGTTTGGTCATTTAACAGTTCGCCATGGAAAATCATCACTTTTAATAGGTACATCATCTGTTTCTATGGGTCATTTTCCATAGCTATGTTAGTCATAACCAGAGGCTAAATCCAATAATAGCTGATTGGTGGTTTGGAACACTTTTTCCCATATATTGGGAAGAATGATCCCGACTGACGAACTCATATTTTTCAGAGGGGTTGGTTGAAACCACAGATCACGTGGTTCAGACGCAGGCATCCATCGAGCACTATAAGTGGAGCCTCTGAGGTCGTTTTGAGGGCGTTGATAGACAGGGGCTGTATGTTTTTTTCATCTTCCAACAGAATAATCACCATTAGTGTAGGGAATATCATGGTGACATTTTTTCTTGGAATATGATACTTTGCCATTTAAAAACCATGAAAATGGCTGTTGAAGTGGCTATCCCCTGTTTTCAGACAAACCTTTTTTTTCAGTTTCCCAAAAAGGTAGCTACATAGATTTTTCTTCCGGTACATCATACGAAAATCAATAAGGGCTACCTATATATAGTTTCCATCACTTTGGATAGGGGCGGGTAAATGTCCTACTAGAACATCACCAAGCTATTGGGGATGTAATCTCCGATACTTGACAGTGATGTTGAAAATTCCCTCAAACAGAACATTTACCAAGCCCTGATTTAATATAGATACACAATGTGGAAAATGCAGTAATAAACCATCCCCAAGTTGGCGGTTTATGACTGGGATGTTCTGACCCCCCAAGTTGGCGAATGGTATGTTTATATGCTACCCGCCTATCGATTTATTCACATATAGACATTCAGATAAGTGGATCTGTGGGTATAGGTATATAGATATTCAGATATTTTGATATTTAGGCACAGAGGTGCTCAGACGTGCAGGTATGTTGATCTTTATTTAAGATATTTACATATACATACATATGCATATGTTTGTTCAAATAATCGAACATAATGTCTTTCGGCATTTTCTGTTGAGACTAACACATAGATGTATGTGTATATATGTATGCCGTGTATATATATATAAATAAACATGCAATATTTTTGAGATATTTACTTGTGGATTCAAGGACATGTGGATTCAAAGATATATGGTTTTTGGCTATATAGTTGTTGCATGTTTGGATAGTTTGATTTTGTATATTCAAAGATAAACAGATGGAGAGATAGATGTGTAGATATTTAGCATTTGAAAATATGATTAGATATTCAAAACATGTGTTTTGTGTGACTTAATCATGTTTTTCTTGTTGTTCTATTGTTGGTGGTTAAATCTCTTTGTTTTGTCGCTTTGCGCCCAGTTATGGGGACCCCCATGGTTTCATCAGGCTGGAGGCATCCCGTTTCTACGAGGCGTGCCAGTGACAGTGCAAGGTGAAATCGAAAAATACAAGGATATGCACACTTCGTATGATTTAAGAATGTTAGACTCCCTGATTTTTTGTTGATTGAAATCTTCAAAAATCTGGTTGAATTCCTCTTATGTTGATTGATTTAAGAACTGATCCGAAAGTCTACTGGATTCAAATCTCAACCATGTCATTGTCGACAAAATTTTGCTGACATGGGGTAGATCGGTACCATTGGGTTGGTTCATATCCTCAAATTTTGGCTAAAAAAATGTAAAATGTAAATGTTGATGAGATCTCCATTCACCCCATTGCTGGCTTCAAGATGGGCGAAGTCGTTGGATAGAAAAAATTGCCAAATGTTTGCGAAAAGTTTTGCGAATGATTCTATTACATTCCCAAGTAGATCCTCATTGGCCATATATCCAACTGGAAATCCCCTGAAATCCCCCGATCCTTATTAAACTTCCATGAAATCCCATAAATTGGTGGGTACTCCCATCAAAATCCCGAGGCTTCTCCCAGTTAATCCATCCAAACTAGTTATTTGTTGGTTGTATCCAATTAAATTTTGGCTATTTTACAGGTCTGACTCGGCAGGACTACATGCAACAGCCTCTCGGTCCGAAAAAAGCCGGGAGCTGGGGGTTCAATGATGATTTAGTGGCATCGCAGTTTTTTCCCCCTCTGAAGGAGGGTTTTTCCTTGATGAATTGTGGAACTCCACGTTTGACTTGTGAGACCTTTAGCTTACATTACCATAGAGGATCTTCTTCCTCCTTCAGGATAGTTTCTAGTGGGATTTATGGTGATTTGATTGGATTTCATGGTGATTTCGTGGGGATCTCATTGGGCTTTCATGGAAATCTCCGATTTTTCGAAATACCCTCCGGTGTCATCAACCATGGCTGAGAAATCTGGGAAAAACTATGGGGCTGATGGGATGGTCACAAGGATCAAAAAGGGAATAGTCAATATCAACTTACTGGTGCGTTTTAGGAATTTTCGGGAATGATCCGTTGGCTAACTATCAATTTCATCATCCCAGCAAGCCTCAGCAACCCATCCAGCAACCCTACGTAAAACGCACCAGTAAGTCAAAGTCCCAAAAGGTTCTGGGTTGATGAACATCCCATGGACGCATCCAGTGGACAATGTGGAATCCAGGTTCCATCGAACAAAACCCCAATGGGTTGCTCTTTTTTTAGCATGAGGAGTTCAACCAGGAAAATCATGTTTTTCACCATCCAACCTGTGGATCGCGGGGTCAAGTTTTCCTTGTAACCAATGGTACAAGAAGAATCCAGGATTTTCTCTTCATGGAGCCATGAAAGTAGCAAAAGTCGACATTTGGATGTTTCCTAAGTCATATACCCCCAACTCATCCAAGCGCTTTGGTGATGTTCAAAAAAAACTATAGCTATTGGGGAAATGACCCCCATGATTATGGAAACCCCCATGACTGGGGTAGGTCTTCCAATGGCTGGGTTCATTGGTCCAGCAGAAAATGCCAGTGCTCCAGCAGCTGAGGCGTATCCATCGTAAGCTCCATGGGCAAGTGGCATATTTCAGTGCCAGCCCGAGGAGGATATCCCCATGAAATTCCCCATAGTTGTTGTCCCCATGGAATCTCTATGAAACCCCATTGATTTCTAGTTAAATCTACTTTGTCATGGGATGTGCCACTTATGAGTGGATAGATTTCACCATTAGTTTGGGGCCCCATAAGTGATGAAGGCGATGGTCCTATGGTAAAGCCATTCATGACTCACGTCACATGAGTCATGATACCGACGACCATCCAATCTCCAGATTCGGTCTATTCTTGGGGTTTTTTAGAATGAGAAGGGATTACCCTCTGGTAAACTAACAGTTTGCCATTGAAAATGGCCATTTATAGTGGGTTTACCCATTGAAAATTGTGATTTTCCATAGTTATGTAACAGTTTACCAGAGGGTAGTTGCAGTGGAAGTTCGAACCACCGGGCCATGGGGATATAACTTATTCTCGAAAAAAAATGTGGATATGACCATCAGTCCAGTCTTGGCTACATGTAGTAGCCCAACTTCCAAAAAGGCTAAATCGATCATCCTTTTCCGATTTCCTAATGTGCTAAAGCCACTAATAAAGCATCCCCAAAATTGCACTTTTTATGGCTAGCATAAACTATCCCCACTTGGTAGTTGTGTATGGCATTGGCTTTACCACATTAGATGTCTATGAAATCTCATTTAATTCCATCTAGTCATTAGAATCCCATGAAATTCCTTTAGACTCCCATGAAATTCCATTAGAATCCCAGTAAAATCCCAGAAGACCCCCATCCAAATCCATTTAAGGCATATTCAAATTACATTTTCCAACTGGCCCAACGTCTTGGAGTTCATCCCACCAGGTGACACGGAACTCTTCGCCGTGGGTGAGCTGTCCTTCAACGAGCAGTTCGACAAGGTGGAAGCGGCTCGGGCGCCCAGTGGCTGATGAAATGGGAGAATCAAAGAGATAGCTTTTTTCAGAAAAAAGTGGTGCTTCTGTATGATTCACTGAACTCAGTCTTTTTGAGGACACTTCCTCGAAGTGGCATGCAAAACTGCCCACTACTGTCGCCTACCTTGGAAGATAGAACCCAACGGCATCCCATAGATTCATTCCTCACTTCGGTGCCTTCACACCCCAATTTTGGTCAAAACACATCGATTTTGCCCAACTTCCCAATGTTTCCTGGTTTCAATGACACCCAGTGATGCCTGAGGTTAAACGGACCGCTTTTGCGCAAGGGATAATACCTATCTGAATCCCAGATTTTTGATCGAAAGCATTGACAAGAAATTGCCCGAATCGCAGAGTTTCTATTGTAAAAATACGGGAAAATGGCCTAGTTGTGGGAGAAAATTGTTGATGTCCTGTGAAGTTTCATCACCAGGTGACTGCTGGCAAGGGCCAGCTTTCGCCGGGCAAGCCTTCTTTGGCGAGGACTGGCCAGCCGAACGCCAAGAGATGAGAGTTTATTCAACCACTGGGTGCCCCCTAAAGCTGTGCTGAACTCTATCCATTTCGCAATGAAACTGCACCAGTTTAGTCAACCATTCAGGAACAGGTCAACGGCAAAATGTGAATTTCACCAACCATCAATCGATTCAATGGATGGGCTCGGATTTTGATTAAAGAAGAACGGATAAAAAGATGGACTTATCAATGCCAATCATACATTTAAACGCAGAAACAAAGTCAGATCCAGGAAATATATGTGATTTTGACCAGCACATACTGGTTCAAGCCGCCTGGTGAATTAGTTTGCCAATCCCTTAATTCATTGCCATGAGTGCAGGAAGAGCATATCCCAGGAACAGTCAAACTGGCACAAAAAATGATGGAATTCCATCACCGAGAATGGCTGCAGAACCTTTAGAAATAGCCGTGATTGGTCATTGCACAAAAGTGATGCGATGTGTCCTGTCAAGGTGCGGGATAGAACTAGCAATTATGGGTTCCAGCATCTGTGAAAATGGGTTCCAGTAACAGGCAGATAAGGCTTTACTGGTGCGTAAAATATATGAAAATAGATGGATTTACCCAGTAAAGCAATGATTTTACCATTGGTGATTGATTTACCATTGATTTACCATTGATTTACCATTGGTTTACCATTGATTTACCATTGATTTACCCAGTAATAGATTGATTTACCAACCATGACACAATTCGCTTTTTGATTGGACGACGTCTATCGGCGGATCCCATGATCCAAAATTTCAGCGTTCACCAGGACGACCGTGTCACCTTTTGGTGGCATGGATCGAGACACCTACATGCAGTGCCTTGAAAAAAAGCTCGGCGTTGGTGAATCTGATCATGTTGCCACCCAAAATGGGGATACAAAAACCCTGGTGGTTTGGAACATGAATTTTATTTTCCATAATATATAGGATAATCCTTCCCATTGATTAATATCTTTCACGATGGTTAAATCCACCAACCAGATCCATTTTCATGGAGCTTGCTTCATTATTTACAAATGTTGGAGAATTCTCACGCCGTATCATGAACCAATATGAAGCAACCATTTAAGTTTGCCATTTAGAGGTTTCCTAAAATGCTGGTACCCCCAAACCAACCATTTGATTTTCGGATTTTCATTATAAACCATCCAGCTATCGGGATATCACCATTTTTGGAAACCTCCATTTACCTTAGATGAAGCAACCATTTGTTTAGTGATGAAACTGGCGATTAACTGAACCCCGCTGATGGCGCGCTAGGCGGAGAGTTGGAAGATTGATGTTTCTTGAAAACGAGGTGCCACATACAGTACACCAAGACTTGGCTGGTTAAATATCTCTAAAGTTTCAAGTCATCATTTTGGAATGATTCAGTACCCCGAGTTCAAGAAATACCCGGACATCCTTTTGCAGCCTTTTGTGCGTCGGATACTTGCCCCAATGGCTGGACCGGTGCCAGGCATATCCTCAATGATGATATTGTAATATTTACAGCCAATCTTGATCCAGTTACAAGCCCATTCTCTCGGTTTTTGTTGACCCATAATCATAAAATTAATCTCCATTAATCTTGTGATGGTACCCTCTGGTAATTTAACATAGCTATGGAAAATCACCATCTTTAATGGGAAAATCCACTATTTCTATGGCCATTTTCAATAGCTATTTTGACATAACCAGAGGGTATTTGATTTATATCCCATGAAGCCATGAATTGTTGCCCCAGTGAAGCTGAGGCAGAGGGTTCACCGCAAGCTGCATAGCGCCCTGGGCGCCCGACGGATTTGTCATTTTGTGGTGCCCAAAAATTGCGATTCGACATTCGAAAACATATGGATGTGGGTCAAAAATCACCAAAGATCTGGGATTATGTGGTGAAGTTTCTATTTAAAAAAATGGATGTGGGTCAAAATGGAAGATCATTAATGGGACCACAGATGTGAATGTCTAGTTTAGTATTCACCATCCAAAAAAAATGGGGTACCTAATTTTGACCCATACCCATATGGATATCTGGATAAATGATAATGACCGAACCCTGTTCTCCCCAACCCTGGAATCATGGGAATTGGATTCGGGAAATCATCCCCAAATGGCCTGAATTCAGGTTAGTGAATTATTATCATTTGCCCAGGGATATAATATGGAAAAATATGGATAGACATTCGAAAACATATCGATAAAATATGTATAAATAGTGACAGTCAAGATCTGATACATCCAAACATGATTGTATGTCTATGTATGTCTATGAATGCATATACCCTCTGGTAAACTAACGTAACTATGGAAAATCACCATGCTGCTAATGGCTCTACTATTTCTATAAAATCGTCAGCTATTCAAGTTCGCTAACTGTCACAGTCATTACCAGAGGCTATCAACCAACAACTGTATGATACTCGTATATTACACAACTGAATGTAGGACATCACCACCGGGATCTCTTCGGCACCCCGTCCCATTTCTTCAGTTTGATCCGAATCTTGCCTTAAATATGTGGTGATCCATCAATAATCTGTTCATGAAGTTCATGTTCATTGTTCTAGTCTCATAATATGTTTGTTCATTGTAGTCTGATCCATTAATATGGAAGATCTACCTGTTCTACCTGCATATGATCCATGTAAAAAACCAGCAACTATGGAAGATCCAACCGACCGACCCACCAAGGTAAGGCCATGCACCTGAGTGATGAGGATCTGAAACAGCGCCGAGCCGATGACGAGTGGATGGTTGGAATCACCATCTCCATACATTAAATATTTTTGGATCGTGAAGTAATGATGCAATATTTACGTATATTTAAATATAGTATACACCGTATACACATATACATACGTATATATATATACACCTATGTATACATATTTATGAGTGCTTTTTCAATGTTATGTGTTGTTTCAACAGCTGGGATGGAGAAGTGCCTGTCGCAGATGGTCCAAGGTTGGGCTCGCTGTCCTTCAACGATCAGTTCCCCACCATCGAAAATATGGCTCTGGGATGAGGCGAAAGTCAGATCCATGGGATGCCAACGGGATATCATGAGGATGTATATATGATATATATATATATATACATCAATTATATATGTATATATATATATATTTGTCGAGAATTAGGGTTTACGGATATCTCGGATCATCTTGATGCTTGAAATGGATTGAAACGATCTGAAACAGCTTTAAGGTCGGTTCTGACTGGAAATCGCTCTCGCAATTCACGAAAGATGAAGGAAAGCAATGCGAAAACTCACCCAAACAGCCTTGATATTCTGCTGACATTAAAACCACCCGAAAAAAATGGAAGGAATTTTCACTGGCAAAACAACCCATCCCCAATTTCAAGCTCTGCATATCGCCAGGTGCGGAAACTCACTCAGGGCGATGCAAAAAGATGGGGGTTTTGAACCTCGGGGGGAGGTGGCGTGCAGCATATGTGACTTGGCCACCAAGGATCTAACAATAAATTGAAACAAGTAACACCTCACAAATACAATCCACCCATTCAAAAGAAAAAGATTGTTGATTTGAAACCCGCCATAATTGGGATATTTACTAACAAACATGGGAATATGAGCAACAAGAAGTGAATATAAAGAAGAAAAATAGGGTGGTTTAATTTCTTATCTCCAACAAACGGGATTGTCGCCAATTCCCTGGCTTACAAAAATCAAATGCCAGCGGCTTTTCCTGGCTTTTTGGGACGAGAGGTACCAGCAGATGCTGCAGCGGCTGCATTTGCCTCTTACCAAAGAGCCCAACACGGCGAGGCTGAAAAAACTCTGTCAGGGCCCATTTCCAGGGCGTCAAGCTGGCTGATTACCCTCTGGTAAACTACAGTTTGCTATTGAAAATGGCCATCGAAATAGTGGATTTAGCCATTAGTAGCATGGTGATTTTCTATAGTTAGTTTACCATAGGGTATATTCTGATAGCACCGATGGGTTCAGAAAATTGCTTCAACAGAAATGGAATGATCCCCAAAGACAAGCATGTTTTTGGGATGGGTTGCAAGAGTATCTCCTATCATATCCGCTAATTCTAATGATGAATAATCTAGCCACTTAGTATCTCATCATCCATGATTATCAGGGTTTTGTAAGCCCGCTACATCTACTGAAAATCAGTTGGCAAAATGTTTGGTCCCAAATTCAAACCTGCACCTGCAGCCGTGGCAATGATAATCCATCCTTTACAGGATTTTTGAGTCAGAAGGCGATGGCACTTCACCCAAGAAACTGATCACATTCGTGGGCATTAAACCATCTAAAATGAGAGTTGAAAGATCCCAAAAGTTAGATTATCTGCTTGGTGGGATATCAAATTTCTCCAATGTTTTCCCTCTTAGGTACGATGGTCCCCGATGACTAGCCATTTTGAAGATTAAGCGACTAGCGGCTGCGAGCAGAGGTGGTTCATTTGAGATCACCATGCGAAAGTATAAGATATATCTCTTCATCTGCATGGTCCAGTAGACCTTTGGACAAATCTAGTGCCATCGTTTGATGAAGTCAGGTCCTTCTTGAGCTCTGCAATGCATCCACCGATGCAAGAGTCCTCATGCAGGGATGCAGCTGATCAAGGACTGTACATCAAAGCTGCATCGCGGACAAGACCCAGCGTCATTCCACATGTTGTATGAACGCCGAATGGCACTCTGCAGTTGTTTCAGAAACAAGTTGTCAAGAGAATCTATAGTGTTTAATAGTGATTTAGTCCATTTGATCACCTGCTTTTTCATGGATTGCATCCACCAAGTTTAAGTAGTTAATAGATGAGTTCAACAGCTTACCATGGTGCATGCCTTGATCCTTACCCTTCGGTGACGTATGGGACTATCGGAGAATAAATCCAGCCATAAATATTAGACCATATTCACAGTAACAGTTGTGGTATCCTTGTGTCCACCTTTAAATGATGGATTGCACTACTATCTCCTGGATGTGCACCACAGTTAAGAAATTCATAGAATTCATATATGACCCATCCGTATATCACAGAGCTATACCAGGGTTCTTGAACACTAAGCAAGTGGGATGCACCCTTCAGCGATTAGCGATTGGTCGATAGTCCTGAATAGCGGTAATGATAATAATATTTACAGCGGGTGAAAATGACTTTAGTTGATCATAAAAGTTTGTAAACAGCATCGTTCATACAAGCTAACGGCCCCCGCAGTTACAACTTGGTTCTTTTCAGCCCCGCTAGCTATAGGCTATAGATATACCCACCATAAATCCAACGGTTAACCTAGTTATGTTCACCAACTTTGCTAACAAACTGGTTGGTTATGTCCATCAAATCCTTATGAAATCCCATTACAAACAGATGTAGATGACTTGCTATTCCCATGTTTCCCTGTCAAATCCAATTTGCCGTCAACATCCCTATTCTGTCCTCATTATCTCCCCATTGATGGCTGGTTTGTAACTGATTTTTGTGGGTTACCCTCTGGTAAACTAACAGTTAGCTATTGAAAACGGCCTTTTTATAGTCGATTTGCCCATTAATAGCATGGCGATTTTCCATTGCAAACTGTTAATTTACCAGAGGGTAATCCCAATATTCGCATTATTACCCCATTATTATCCCAATATTGATTCGGTTCATTATAATCTTATCCCATTATCATCTCAAGATTCATATGGTTCAAACCAGATATAGATAGATACCCTCTGGTTATGACTAACATAGCCATGGAATCCATGGTCGATTTATAGATGATATAACCATTATTATATAAGCCCATTATGGTCCCATATCATTAATGGTCGATTTATAGATGATACAACCATAATGGTGATTTAATGTGACAATAAGCCCATGATTGTCCCATTCTTATCACCATTCGTCGGTGAATCCCAGCGGCCGGGAGGCCAAATCCGGACGACTTGGCCGAAGGCTTCCGTCTGCGGGTGCAGTGGCGCCTCAACTGCTCTTGGATATATATATATATATATATTATATATATATACATGTGTATATATATATATATGTGTGTGTACATATATAAATATATAAATAAATAAATACATAAATAAATAAAGAAATAAATAAATACATAAATAAATAACTAAATAAAGAAATATATATAAATACATATATATATACATATTTATATTTATATTATATTTAGATTATATTTTATATACATATATACATTTACCCTTACGTACATTTATGCCCACCAAGGCACAGAACCACATTCCAAAAGCTGGGGATTCGCTCGTTTCCTCTGCCGAAAACTGCACAGATCCGCATGAGATTTTCGCGTCTCAGGTCAGATGGCTGGTGGAAAGCCCGAGTGCCTTCGCTGGAACTTGGGAAAAGGGTGAAAGAGCTACTGAAAATGCGCTTAAAAAACCTGCGCACTTGGTAGAGTTTCTCCGTTCTTTGCTGTAGATCATCAGGCTGCATGGTATGAATTTGTTCTTTCATGAATGATTCACTTGCTGTCTGTGCATGTCCGCATTGCTTTCTTGATAGACTGGATCAAAGCCCTGTCAGTCTGGTTTTCACATCAATTTACAGCTGCTATAGATGGATGTACATCCCAACGGACGGTCCCATACCGATGCGTCCCTGATTTTTATGTTGGTCATATTCCCCGTCTTCAATCCCATGTGAGATTGGTCGCGGACATTAGATCTCCAGTTTATGGCTGAGAAACAAGCTGTCAATCATCCCTTTACCAACATGTACGCCGAAGATATGAAATAGGCATTTACTTTGCAATATTATGATATACATGACATAATTTAAATATGTATATCATAATATTTAATATCTTTCATTTGTATATCATTTTACCGCCATATATCATAATTCAAATATGTATTTCATGACATCAATTGTCATGATATACATGGCGGTTTTCATCAGTCAAGGAATTCATCACCCCGGCCTGAGGTGCTTGAGACCAAGGGTCCCGACCAGATCAAGGCAGTTTTTTCCCTACACCGGAGGAGCCAATGATGGGCAGTTGATATCAACAATGATAGCAATTTATGGTGATTTATGGTGATTAATGGTGATTAATTTGGATGACTTGAAAATGATGGAAAAAAAAGCCATCATCCATCATCATCCCATGAATGTTTGACCACTTGAACTGATCAATGCAATGATATGTTTTTCATGTCTTCACATCATCGTCCGATGCCACAATTCCCAGGATCATCCAATCACTGACCAAAGCGCTAGGCTCCTGAGCCCTTAATCAATGGGGATCTCACCAAAAACAGGTGGCTGCTGTGATCATTGGCTGCTTTCCAATGTTTGCGAAGAAAAAAGTCCCCATTTCGATGATTTCTGTGAGCTTATCAACCCATGAGTTGAGAGTTGGGTACAATTCATGCATCGTTTGCATCCCTTCATCCTCTACAATCAAACATGGGTTGGAACATTTCCTGTTTACTTCGATGATATTCCCCTAAAACCCGTAGGGCCGTAGGGGATCGCCCAGCCGCACCAGGTCCACTTTGACACTTGGGGTGCGGAGCATGACGAATGGATCTCTCGAGACAGCCAGGTAGGGGCTGCAGTGAAAAAACTTTGATTGCGGTGATTCGAGGTGTCAATCCATGGAAATCCCCAAGAAAACCAGGAATCTTGGGATTCTCTCGATTTTTCACACTAAGTCGATCTTGGCCCAAATCTTGACAGCTCGGCAGTGAAATGCTTCAAGGTCTCGAACCTCTCAGATGTTCATTGTTTCTGTTTCCAATCCCGAGATCCACAGGGTGCAAGCGAAAAATAACTTCGACCGCCTTTCCAATGCTGTCATGCCCAGCTAGAAATCACTGGATTTTGCAGGACATCCGAAATTGATGATGAACATAGTAGATTTCCATCTACCCGGGGCACTCCTTCAACAGCTTGTTCAAGCCGGTGTCTGAACATGAGGGATACCCAGATCATTGCCATCGATTTTAAGGGTGCCCTATTTTTGACAAACCTATATTCAAGCCAAAGCGCTTGTAACCACCGGATATCGCGATGGAGGTGCGCTTCCTAGCGTCTGGCGAGATGCTGACAGCTCTTGATCAAAACGAATTTGATGGCAAAACTGGGAGAGAAATTAAGCAAACTTTGGCAGCTCATGTTGGGGTCTCCAGATTTCGGCAGAGACTCTACGTGGAAGATGGCTTCCGCGAGATTCAGGATGATGAGGTGTTTGGATCGGCTCCGGTGCAAGTACAACTGGTTATGTTGGAATTCTTGCTACCAGATGCTGAAGAGGACAAACAGATGATTTCCGCATGCATCAGAAACGATTCAGCCAGCTTGGAACAATGTCTTCAAGGTCCTCGAAATCCAAACCTTGGAGGTGGATATGGGTCAAAACTATTACACTCCCAAAAGTCATAAGATCATTAAGATTAGTATTCCCATAGGCGTTATTTGTGTTACTTTCCAGTTGTGGTCTGTGTTTGCCAGAAGACTGGGATGAAATG